GATACTATTACCTATGAAAAATTTGAAATCACTATAATTTTAGCTTTTTAATAATAATAGGAATCTATAATAACAAATTCAACATGCTAGCATTGTTTAAGTATATAGCCTATACATCCTTAATTCAGGGTACCAGGCGTACGGTTAAATCGATTTGCACACGCACACAGGTACGTGCGAACGGAATGACGACGCGGCGGCGTGCGTCGTTCCGAGAACACTCGGCAACCGTGAAATCGATCGAGTCAAAACCGATAATGTTCCGCGATAACGCCGAGTGCCTTATCGGGGCTCTGTCCTTGATCGTCGCCAACTTTCCTCATTCTGCTCTCCTTTTTTTTCCCGCTCCGTGACAGGCAATGACACCAGGCCTGAGGAGATCAACGTAGAGGAAATGAGGAACTCCAAGTGAAATTTAAATTACATTTTATTCATTGATGTCAGAAACTTTAACATTTGAACTACTGATATTTTGGTATATATTTTTTATCCACTCAAACTTAGTCGTTTTAACTTGTTTACTAATTCTAAACAGAGAAGTCAGTGGTCTATTCAGAGATCAATCTGAAGGAAACGATGAATTTCAAATAAAATTTAGATGATATACCGTACATTAGTATTAAAAACTTTAGATCATAATTGATTTCCAAATAAACTAAAGAATTATAATAGTAAAAATGGAAATCATTTACTTAGCAAAAGAAGAAGTGGTTGCTATATAAATTTTCCTAAGACAGATTAAAATAAACAGAGAAGTCAATGACCTATTCAGATATCAATCTGCTTGAAATGAAGAATTTCAAGTAAAATTGAGATGATATTACGTCCATTGACATCAGAAACTTTAAATCAGAATTCTATTCCAAATAAACTAGAAAGTTATAATAGATTACTTCGATAGATTTTGTACTTGGCAAAACAAAAAATACTTCCTATATAAATTTTCCCAAGGCACATTAAATTAAACGGAGAACTCAGTGACCTATTCAGACAATTTTCCATTCTCGATAACAATTTTCCAGAGACCATTCTCCAGAGGATTCCACGCGGAACGAAGCTGAATTCCAGAGTGAACCAGGAACTCAGCGTGAAACTACTCCTGTAGGATGTACATAGCTACCTGCATCCGGCGGGCAACGAAATTTCTCTCACTCTCGTTTCGTTAAACGTTACACGTGCTCCGACGCGGTGAACATATGGCACTTACATTATTCTTTTATTACCGTGCCGACACGTGAGAAACGAGGGCAAATTGAAATCTTCCCGGAAACCATGCAACACTGTTTTCACTTGTTACGAACACTCGGCCAGTCCCTTTCTCCATCGACTTTGTAATGGATGCTATTTACTCCTTTCCAATATTTTTTAGAACAATTAAAATTGCCAAAATTACAGCAAGTATTATTTTCCACGTTTTTCTAAATAAATACTGACTTTTTCTATATAATACTTTTTTTAAAGGTTTTTTTTTAATACAATATTTCTATGATTATGCATGAAGCATATAAAGTTCTGTTTAATTCCGCTTAAGACGATCGGTTCTGCGAGACGTGTAGGATTGCTAGCGAAGGCTTGATTAGAGGTTCGCACCCTTGGATGCAAACGCGACCTCAGCTTCTAGGCTCTGCCGACACCCGGCACACTTTTACCGTAACCCTGATCGCGATATTCCATTCCGATTTACCTCAACATTCTATCTGCTCGTTCTAGATCAGGAGCCAACCGATTCCCAACGTCTTGCTCCCTGATCGTCCTTGCCGGACCGCGGTGTGCCCTCAATAAATCGTCACGAAACTTATACTTGTATACTTAATAAAATACAATATGATATCAGCTCAGGGAAAAATTAAATGC